TTATCTTTTAGTGTAGGGTAATGTTATATTTAACTTTGCTCCTGTAGCTGCCAGTGCTCCAGCCATCTCCTCTCCTGCTGAGGCTTACCCAGTTCGCCCGAGTTCACCCAAAACTGTGACAACTCACCCCAATCTAATCAGTTGTGGGCGGGGCATTCCCTGACCTGGAGCTACACATCACTAAGGGGCGGGGAATGCCCCATGCCACAACTGATTGGGCTGGAAGGGGTGTGTATTGGTCACAGTTTTGCGCAGGCTTGGGTGCACACCAAGACCCCACACATGACTTACCAGAATGTGGGAGGGCCTCCACTCTGAAAACCTTACACATTCCTGTTGCCATCAATAATTATGGTAGCAGCTGAAATATTTCAGTGTGACTTTGTGCAGTGAAGGATCTCTTGCAGGGGTAGGCAACCTTGGCTTTCCAACTGTGGAAACACTACAAATCCAATCCTGCCTGTGGCTGGCAGAGTCCTGCAGTGCTTCATGGGACTTGTAGTCCACAGCAGCTGGGGTGCCGAGGTTTAAACAGCTAGTGTGATCCAGGTGCAATTCTCGGCAGAACTCCTCTGCTTTACTTTATTTCTTCCACCAGGGGACAGCCCTCAAACTCCAGGTATTTCTAATATTCCCAAAAAACAAACACAAGAGCGCCCCATCTAGGTGCAGAGACATTTATTAACGAAAATCTTAAGGGCTTGTTCATTCCAATTGCGTTGCGTTCCAGAGTGGGAGCTGCTGGAACGCACTGCAATTGCTCACCAAACTTCGTTCTGGGGCAGGAGGGGGCGTGGCTGCGGTGCCATTGACTTCAATGCCACTGCCCCAGAACAAAGGGGGAAGCTTTGTGAGCGATTGCGGTGCCTTCCAGCACCTGCCGCTCTGGAACGCACTACTCACAAGATTTGATCAATTGAAAGGGTTTCTAAACCCTCAGCTTTCTTTGCGTATATCTACTGCTAACAAGCAGTAGATATACGCAAAAAGTAAAAAAAACACTTCAACAGCGGTTTAAATTTACCTGTGTCTTCCCCGCGGGCTCCTGTCCGAAAATGTGAAAATCCTCGGGCGGCCGCAAAGGTTCAGGAAAGAAGATCGGATTAAGAGACATAATTTAAGGTAAGTGCTTTAATTGACGTTGGGGGGAGGGGAGTAAAAAGGTGCCTTTAATGTCACTTTAAGCATTTATAAAACACTCCTCTCAGCAGGAGCACATCCGTCATCTGTCTCTGAGACTGTTTTACTAGACGGGCAGATGTGCTCCTGCTGAGAGGGGTGCCAAGTTGCCTACACCTGGTCTATCCTTATTTTTCTGATGCTATTGTTAAATAGTTTCTACTTTTGAATTTATGAAAGATGGACTGAAGGGCCATCTTTATATATATATATCTATATAGATATATATATCATTTTGTATTTCCTAAGCAGTAAACATGACATGTGAGATGTGTAATATACTTTGCCATCTTGATTTTGCTTTGTTTGGACTTGTTTTCTCTGGCTGAAATGAAATGTCAACGCCTCATTTATTAATGTGGCCCAGTTTCTGTTGACGGTTTGTATGGCTGTAGCTATACCGTTTTATGTCTCCATACAAAGAAAGCTTCTTGCTGGTGCCAGCTAGGGGTGTGGTGGTAATGTTTGCAGTTAGATTACTTTACCTTAAACAAACTTTATTTTTTAAATTGCAACAGAAAATATGTTTTAAAGATGTATAAAGGTGCAGGAGTGCATACCTGATAGCAGACTTCCCTTCGAAAATTTATACCAGACCCCTGTCTAGGATAAGTTTTTGATTTTCTGGTGTGTCTTCATATTTTGCATATCTTTTTAAAAGGTGTCATGACTGAGGAAAAGTGGAGAAATGCTGCTCTACACTGTAAAGTGACGCTGAACAATAGGGGGTAGCCCCAACTGCAAGGGTCAATTTTGCTAATAGCTTGAATTCTTCTTTTAAAGACCAATTCCTTCTTTCTTCCCTTGTTTAATTTTACAGCCATATTCAGGGTGTAACATGAAACATGGTCACATCCCAGCCCCACACCCTCCCCGCATATTAAAATTCTGGGGTTGTTCTCGCAGGTTCCTTATATATTTGAAATTGGAGCAACTGTGCTTGTCATAGAGACTACAAGTTCCAACTTCCACCATGGCAGAGGGACTTGTAGATCTCAATGGAGTACAACGGCGGCGGCATCACCACACTTGTAGTCCACTGACACTTCCTCTTGTCTCTGTAACTGATAGTCTATACCTTGGTATGGACAGGGGCTGGGAGGAGGAGTCTGCAGGACAATTTGCAGGCTCTAATGCAAAACGTCAATTTTGTGCATTTTGCAAAAGGTGGCCTTTGCCTTCAAAGTGTAGCGTATGCATCAAATACCTTTTGTTTGTCCCACCTGATCAATGTGATATTAAAAGTTTTCAAATTGTTTTATTTTTCAAGAAATACCTGTTTTTTCGACCCCGTGATGTCATCCTTGGGTCTGTCGCACTTTGCTCTGTGTGGGGTGGGAGGTACCTGCGGCAGCGTGTAACCGTCACAACATTCTGTTCATTTTTCAAATTCATTATACGAAAAAGATCGCATCCCCACTATCCCTTTAGAGGAGCCTGCTTCTCCCTGCTGGCCACTGGTTACTGCAGAAGTTAGCTGTGCAGCCTGCTGATTGGTTGACTGTTTGCAGGCATCTCTAAAGTGATGCTGGGAATGTGTTCTTTCAAATAATGCTCAGGAACAAAATGATGGCAGAGAAAGCCAATAGCTGTGAGAGGGGAAGGCAATGAGTGTACAGATCAGGGGGAGAAGTAATTGATAAATGATGGAGGTCATTAAAGTGACACTAAACGAAGGAGTTAAAACTTAACAATGCATTCAAGTACCCAATTATCAAAAGTGTATCCCGCTCTCCATCCTGATCGCATCAACCAACACTAACTAACAAAAATGTATCTTATTTCTGTATCACTTGGCTGTAGATCCTCAAATTATCTCTGAATTGGTGCTGACACTGTCTTTCCTTCTGGAGGGTGGCTACTCTTGTTCCCCATGGTCCCTGTGTGTGTTGCAAAGTTGTCACTTCTCCAAACTCGCTTACATGATTCACAGATGATTTGAGGATCTTCAGCCAAATAGAATGGTGATCATGACGACCGATATATATAAGTACAACACTTACATGAACTACAGTGGCACACAGATATAGACATACCTCCTTTATTCTCTCATCTCCCTGAGGCATCACACAGTAATACACTTTGGATTATATTTCCTTCACATGTTAAACTCTAAAAGGAACACACCTACCCGTGCCCAGGGTATTGATTCCGCAGGTACTGAAAGCTTATCTCCGGGCAATTTTTTTTTTTTTATTGATACAGTGGAAAAGATTTAACATTTCTGTTGGGCTTTTTTTCTGTCTGTGACTCAGTTGGGCAGATGTATTATACTCACCCGCTCTCTATTCACGAACGCAGTGATCGAGGACACCGGCCAATCACAGCAGCCAACGTCAGTCCTCTCCTCCCTCTCCAGTCAGCTGGAGGTTTTTAGCCGGCTCTTTTGAAATACTCGGCGCCCTAGTATTCTCTTGGACGCAGAGCACGGCTGCTACCGCTTATACCGCTCGCCGCCCTGATCACATCAACTAACACTAACCCAATAATTCCCTCTCCACACCTAGTCTCCTTCGCCAATCCCTCGTCATCTTGGATGTTTCCCTGCATGTGCTACAGTGCACCTCCACCACAGCTGACAGCAAGGATTAAAGGAGAACTATGGGATAAGTGTTTTTCCCCATAGTTCCCCTAAGGGTCACGGGAGGACATATACTAGCGTTCTCCCGTTACCCTAAGCTCATTATATCGTGAGCTACAGCTCGCGGTATACTGAGACCGCCGCAGCCGGGACGGATCCGACATTACTGTCGAGATCCACCCAGCTGCGTGAGTGACATCTCACTCTGCCTATCTATCTATATAATAGTCCATGTCTGTATGAAGGATTGATTACTTCAGATAAGAGGCCAGCCCCAAGGATTTCCAGAGCCTCTGAGTAAGTTAACCTCTGCAGTTGTTGATTAATTAGAATCGGAATAGATAAACTATTACAGCAGATCTCTCTGACATCCGGTTCCTGGGTCAGAAGTTTTAACCCACTCTACTGAAAAGCTTTTTGGTTCAGGCATACCAACCTGAAAAAAGTCATTTCAGGGAGGTGCCCTCTGTCCCCCCAACCCACCCACCATCTGCAAGGGGGGGGGAGCACCCCCCAAATGATGGCAGATTGCAATTCTGTGCTATCTGCTGGTTTTTATCGTCTTCTGACACCTGTTGCATGCAGAATAATACAAAAAATCAGCATAGAAATTAAAAGCTAGATTGCTATTGGCTAGTTCAGTTTGCAATAGCCAATAGCAAGCTAGCTATTGCACCCGCCCTCAACTGCTGTCAATCAGGAGAGAAGACCTGATGGAGAACTTCATGTCCACCTCTGCTGACTGACAGCAGCAGTGGGTGGGTGCAATAGCTAGTCTGCTATTGGCTATTGCAAATTGAAATAGCCAAAAGCAATCTAGCTATTCATTCCTGTGCTGTTTTTGGTTTTTCTTCCTCTGACCACACAGCGGCCGGTGGCCCCGATGTAAACAGAAAAAAAACAGACAGCAGGGAAAGGTTTACTCTCAGCTACATTATAGTGGGAGATTCCCGGTATGTTGAAAGGAAGTGGCGCAAAACACACCCAAATGGGTATACAGTAGATGGCATTAAAACGTGACAGAGGCTCTAATCGAGGCCTAGGCAACCTTGGCACTCCAGCTGTGGTGAAACTACAAATCTCATCATAATCTGTGGTGTGCTAGGCTCCTATAATAGTGTACGTATCTTGGTAACATTGTAGCACAGAACAGATGCCTGTGATTACAGATGAACACATTAGCACAGCTGCTTTATTTGTGAACTGCGGAGAACTATTCAGATGTTTCGTTCTGTTTCAGGTGAATACTGAAGAGCATCTTGAAGAAGCTGATGAGTCAATCAAATGGAATAAGCAAATGCCAGATGACATTAAAGACAAAATCAAGTCTGCAAAATCATTTCCCACAGAAAGTATTACTGTATGGATAGATCCACTGGATGCAACACACGAGTATACAGGTATACAAGACTGCCTGTGTTTCAGCAAATTATGGGCATAACATTGTCTTCCTATTGCCTTGAAGAGGCAGCATCAGTCAAGAGAAATAAAAATTAACATGCAGGTTGATTCTAATACAAGTATAATGTTTAAATAGGATTATATGATTACAAATGTATTAAAGTAGTACTAAAGGCTATTTACCTTGATGCATTCCCTGCATGCAAAAAGCCCATTTCCACCTTTTGGAGAGGTATTTAAAAAAAAATTCATGCCAGCAATGTACACCAAGTGGAAGGCATTTGCAGTTGCTGTATACACAGAAAATTAAAACATTTTTGTCAGCTTTTCTCCTTTATATTCTCATGGAAATGGCTGCCTCTGTGCCCTGCAAGCAATGTGTATATATTACAACTGAGCTCTCTCTTCCCCCATTCATTAGTATTCATAGCGGCACCCCAAAGCCCCCCCCCCCCCCCCCCCCCCCCCCATTCCTGCGTCAGCTGACTTTTTCATTACCATAGCCTTTTCTGTGGAAAGAAGCAAGTCTGAAGCAAACCTATGTAACCTATGTAACACATGCCAACACAAGACCTTAAAGCCTATCTCCAGCTTTGCAGAGGTATTGTCTTAAAACATATGCCAGCATTGTACACCGAGTGTACATGAAGCAGGCATATGCAGTTGCTGTATATGAACACAGAAACTTACATTTTTGTTAGCTTTCGTCTTCATAGCCTCATGGAAATGGCTGCCTCTGTGCGTGCAAACAATGTGTTTATACCCCCCTCTCCGACAGTGTATTGTGTGTAAAGGCAGAGCTGGTGTTTTGTGATCGTGTTACACGGAATCGCAGGGAGGAGGGCAGCTGCTTTACAATCCGACCCCGGTGTCAAACTAAGAGGGGTTTCCAGTTCAGCTATTTCAATTTATAGGATTCAGGCCTAATAAAAAGTTTATGAAAAAAATAGAAAGCCAGCAATGTGAGTCATGAAAATGTACACATATATACATCATCACTGAAAATCTACATTACCACAATAAATGCTAATCACCTACAAAGGTGCAAATGGACTTTAATGTTAAATGCTTCTACCTTTCCATGTCCCCCACCTCCAAAACACTTATCTATAGTCCACATTCTCCGCCACCAGATTCCAGACAATCTGCATGTTTCCCCAAAGTTCCAGGTTGAGGGGAGGGATCCCAAATCCGCTGAAGACAGGGCAGCAATAGGCTGCTGCACCTGCCTGTCAAATTACTGTGAGGAGGTGGGAACAGGAGTGTGGCTTGTTGAGAGCGTTGTGTGTGTCAGTGGATGCACACAGCCCGACTCGGTTCCCGGCCAGGTGCACTCATGCACGGGTGTCGCCTTCCCATGCTGCCAGGCAAAGGAGATACCTGTAAACAGGAGACGAGGATTCGCGGTGCATGACCAAAAAAAATATATGACATGGGGCAGCATAAAAAAAGCTTAAAGGAGAACTATGAGGTGAGTGCTTTTCACTCACCTCATAGTTCTAGCCGACCTGTGACAGGTCGGCTCAGTAGATGGGCACAGTAGATCGGGAGGTGAGCGAACACATACCGGCGTTCGCTCACCTCTCGATCCTGTCACGGCTATTTGCAGTGACAGGGCAGGGGCTCCCCGCCAGCGCTGACTGGCGGATCGGACGGGGGAGTGGGTGGGTACAGCTGGCTCTGCCCAGTATTTATCTGGTTGCATGCTATTGATTTATATTAACTTTGTCATTAAAGTGGATCTTTTCATTTTTCTTACCCTGACATGCAGGATTCAGCTGTATCTATAGTATAGAGCTCTCTTACTTCCCAGAGTAACAAAAAGGAAGATATCCCTGGCGATTTAGCAGTATAAAAGTGGAGCCTAAGGGCTTGTTCACACTGAAAGAGTGTGAGAGCAGTAGCTGCTGGAACGCACCGTGATCGCTAAGAAACGCCCCCCCCACCGCGGGTTCTGGGGCGGAAGGGGGCGTGGCGGTGCATTGAATTCAATGGCACCGCTTCCACCCACCCCCAGCCGCAGTGCGATCGGACGCGGGGCAAAACTTTGCCAGCATTCCGTTCCACTGCAAACGCAAAAAATTGTGCTTGCTCAATGTTTTAATGTTCCCATGGTTTAGGACTTTAAAAAAATGAAATAAATAAAAAAAATATCCCCTTTTTATAGAGATTACTATAAAATATATAATTTTACTGGACGGAATTTCCATTTTTGTATATTTGTAATGGGGTTATGTACGGCCATTCAGTATTCAAAGCAAACTCTGTAGAGTTCTGATAAAGCAGACACTTAATGGATGCCTATAAAAAGACCACAACCTCGTAGTTCTGTGCAGGTTATTGTCTATAAAGTGGCCACCAAATGCACACTGCCATTCATATAAGTATCATCTCCACTTCACAGTGTCCTTGGTTTAGTTGTGCAAGTAAAAAGCAAAGTATTTGCTGTTTTTTTTTCCAGTTTCCCTAGCATTTGCTTTTGTCATCAACTGTGGGTTTTTGTTTTTTTTCCCCAGAGAACCTTGTTAACTATGTTACAACTATGGTATGTGTTGCTGTGGATGGAAAGCCTGTTATAGGAGTAATACATAAACCTTTCACGCATTATACTGGTAAGTTTTTTTTTTTTTTTTTTTCTTTTCTTTTTTTTTTTTTCCCTAAGGTTGCATTCAAGCTAGCAGCATGTACCTTTTGTTTATGTGCACTGTAGAAGTATGTACAAGTATAATGTAGGGCTGCAACTAACTATTATGTTTATAATCAACATGGCCGGCCGATTTATTTTATCGATTGATCGACTAATCGGATAATAAAAATAAATACCTTCTTTTAATTAAAATACACAAATGGAATTTTAAAAACAAAGTTTACTTTAGAAGAAAACTGCATGCAAAATTTTTCGTAATCACCCCACGCTGGAACGCTCAGTTTTACTGTGCCATGCATTCCAGTGCGGGCGATCGCACTGGTTGGTTGGAAGCGCGTTTAGGGTGCCAATGAGATGAACTCACATGCCACAGCAGCATTTGTCAGGCCGAAATGAAAAATTACTTTTTTTTTCCCCCGCCTTAAAAAAAAGTTTTTTTCAACAATTGTATGTAATTTAGACATTTTACTTAGATTCATGGATTTAAAATAATCAGATTTTTGAAAAACTCCAAGTCAATATCATAAAACAACCAGGGCTTGAAACATTTTAGGGTGTCTCACCAGTCAGTCAAAGAATTCACCAGTCAGCATGACCGGTCTATAGGCTTGCAATTTATGTTAACACTTTTTTGTGGACAGATAGAGCTTTCTTTTGGTGGACAGATAGAGCTTCTTTTGATTTAGGTCAGGTAAATAGACACCGAACATGTCAAGCCTTAAAATTGCGGAGCGCACACAAAATCGCAAAAAAAGACTACGTCGAAAATTGCCCGTGGACAACGCTTTAAACGCTTTTACTGCTCATCAGTTTAGTGTTATCAGTGATTAATGGCCCTAGAATTATTGCTCCCACTCTGACAATCGCGGAGATATGTAACATGTGCGTCACAATAGGCGCAATCGTCGTTTTCATACGTGACGCATGTTTGCGTGTGTATGTAGGGGGCGGGGGACTTTAAATTAAAAAAAAAACACTATTTTTTTTTTTTTTTTTTTTTTT